TTCCCCCCCCCCCTCAATCGGGTTGATTATATTACTCTCTATTATACAAGTCCGAATTTTTTTACTGGTGAAGTTGAATATATATATTTTTATATTATATTATTTAAATGTTTAAAAACAATTGAACAAGATTGATCAGTTGGTTATATGATTCATTAACTACATACATGTAAGAATGAGTTGAGTAATGTGTATAAGTCGATATTAGAGTAGCTATAAGTGTGGTTTATAGTCTGTACTTGGACAATCAATATTTGAAATGATGTTTGAGAAGGGGTCTTGATGGACTCTTAACTCTTATTGATGGAATCACTTGTTTTGTGTGTGTGTGTACAATTCATGGTTTATATAACGAACTATGTAGTGAGATCTTAAATGGATGAGTCACAAAGAAAAAATAGAATTGGGTATAATGTATGGAGTGTGAAAGAAAGCTTTACATCGTTAGAACTTATATTTGATGTCGTCAATCGTGGATGGTGTTAGCATGTGTAAAATTGCATAATTTTTCTTCGGAAAGAGTGTGGTTTTGTTGAATTTCCTGTTGAATCAGATAGTGAAGATTTGTCTACATTATCATTACCAGTAATTGAAGAGCATGATGATATTTTTAAACTCAAGAGCTACAAAGAAAGCTTGCAAATGAATGGAGAACTAATATAGCTTGAAATAGTGGGTAGATGTTGTGAACGAAGAGTAATGGAAATTAAGTTGTGCTTAGACAATTTTACAATTTTTTTATTTTTGCTTTTAGATGACAATTTATGAGTTTCTTTTAAGAAACGATAATTTGGTTTTCGAGTATCTAATATCTTGACCTTTTGGTATCCAATTTCTCATTATGTTACAAATAAACTTGCTTGCACTAGAAATGGGGTTATGTGGGAATGTCAACAAGTCAAGTCGAGTCGAGCCGCTCACGAGCCAAAATTTAAGGCTCAAGTTCGACTTGGGTAAAATAATTGAGCTTTTTTCAAAAGCTTGGCCAAAAAAATTAGGCTCCACTTGAGCTTTTGGCTTGAGCCGAGCCAAGCAAGCTCGATTTTGGTTGTATTTTTGGTATTTTTCTTTCTAATTAATGAAGAAGTCTAGAATTAAGGCAGCAGCACGCTGCCTTTTAAATATATATATATATATATATATATTGTATATTTTTTTAAATATAGACTCGTGAGCTCAGGCCAAGGAGCCACACGAGTCGGCAAATGGGCTTGGCTCGAGCCAACGAGCTCGATTGCCATTTCTAGGGTCATGAGAAGTGACATTTCCAAAGCAATTAAGATCTAGAGTAGATGGACTTAGATTAATGATTATAATTTGCATATTTTGACATAACATACATTAGAAAGTTGCTCATCCCGACATAATTTGGTTCACTAAGAAAAATAAAGTTGAAATAGTAGGGTGAAATTTTATTATTATTATTATTATTTTCTTTTTACAGAGTTCAGTTAATGATTTGCTTTGAACAATTGAGGAGATAAAAATACAATTATAGTATAGAAGTCTACAAATCCATGAGAATTTATAAAATCCATGAAAATCTATTGAAATCTACAAAATAGAAATTCATTCAAATCTAATGAAATCTGTTAAATTCTATTGAACTCCATAAAATTCATGAAAATAAATTTATAAATATTAAGAAATCTATTAAAATTTGAGTTGAGAACACCTTTAAATTGATTTATAAGTTCAGAGAGATTTCCAATGGAGATCCTCAACCTATAGCTTATGGAGCGAGTTAACGCACCCTTAAATCATTAATTTGGATACTTTCATTCTCAATCTTTCAAATTCATTGTGCAAGTTATTGTCTAAGTGACACGTGGCTCTCACATGCCGTGCCATTTCTAGCTTGGTCCCTTTGTCGGCTTGCTCATTGTTGGTATTTTTTAATGAATTTATTATTATTTTTTCTTTAAATAAGATTTTAAATTTTAAATTTTGAAACTACAATTTAACCTGCATGCATACAAATGCTAACACTTACTTATAGCAGGGTCCATGTGCCAGGGATGGCATCTGATCTATTTTAAAAGTTTGTGTAACCTTGATCGATCCATTTTAATTTTTAATACTCTTTAAGTCAGTGTCATACTTGTGCTTCGCGAGATCTGAGGCGAACTTCGGAATTTAGGCCTTAGGCTCTAAGTCGTAGCAAACAATCACTTTTTAAAAAAAATAAAATAAAAAATTAGAAGTTTACGGAATTAAATTTGTTAACTTAAATCAACAATAAAACAAAAAATAAATTTTTCAGTGTTCCTTCATTCTCTTCTCATTAAAGTATTTATTCGTTTCTTTTGAAAGCATGGATATAGTGGGTTTTTTTTAAAAAAAAAAAGTAAAAAGTAAAAAATGGGCCCCCTAAAATTCTGGGCTTGAGGCGGAGGCCTGCTGGGCCTCCCATCAGGTCCGGCCTTGCTTTAAGTTTTCACATTTTGCAAACTCACAACCCCGTGCCCTTCAATTGCAATGCCCCCACCACAAGTCTAGCCTTGCCTTTTGTTATTTTTCATTTTGTTTTAAAAATAAGTTTATCAGCAGTAACTTAGAACCAAAAAAAAAATAAAAAAATAATCCAATGCAGACTAAGTTGCTACAAAGTTAAGGTCAATACTAAAATACTTCATATAAAAATTTAGAGACCTATTTTCACGAATATAAATAGGTCGAGGACCTTCACTGCAATGCTCCCCAATATAAGACTAGTCCTGTAATACAAGAGGTAATTGTTCCAATGGTTACTGAACTTACGTCCATATCTTTGATTGGTTACTAAAGTTTAAAATGTCGAATTTTAATCACTGAACTTAAGTCAATGTTTTCAATTATTCACTGAACTTAGGTCCATATTTTAGATTGTTCATTGAAGTTTAAAATGTCAACTTTTGGCATTAAACTTTGGAATATGCCATACGTTGGCATAACAGTTGAACTTTGAAAAATATCAAGTTTTCAGTGAGTACTATACTATATTTTTCAAAATTTAGTGTGTAATGCGCAATATTTTTTCAAAGTTCAACGAATAATGTATGATATTTTTCAAAATTCGGTAACCAAAATTCAATATTTTAAATTTAGTGAGCAATCAAAGATATGAACTTAAGTTCAATAACCAGAATTCGATATTTTAAATTTTAATGACCAATTAAAGATATGAACGATGGTTGGAGCAATTAGCTCTGTGTACAAGCAGTAANTATTTTGTGAGGGGGAGGCTAAATAATAGTATGCACAAAGGACTTTGATAGTCTATTATATGCAATTTATCTGATATTATCAGCAGAATACAGATTGATAACAGCTTGTCAAATGTTAATCAAGGAGAAAATGTTAGTCGTGAAGCACAATTTTTCATATTCCAAAAGAGTAACATTATTTATCATTAGTTGTCATCATCACTGGTCTAGGTGACAGTTAACCTCATGATTCATTGTTCAATGGAGTTGTGATGTGTTTTAAGAATAATGCTATATGTACAAAGTGGGGATCGTCCCCATGTGATGTGGGATTTGATGTGTCCTGAAGCATAGTTTTTCATGTTCCAAAGGAGAACGTTTTTCATCATTAGTTGTAATCATCACTGGTTTAGGTGGCAGTTAACCTCGTGATTCATTGTTTAATGGAGTTGTGACGTGTTTTAAGAATAATGTTATTTGTACAAAGTGGGATCATTCCCATGTGATGTGGCATTTGATGTGGGGTGAAATGATAAGGCTAATTAAATGCGTATATATGAGACTTAGTTTATAGACCTTATCATTCAATGTCACCTCATATGGTGATTATTCCCAGTTTGCTCTTATAGCATGACTCGACCTTTAACGCATTGGACAATAAATCAAGGGGTCCACTGTCATCTAAACTAGTGATGATCACTATTAATGATGAATATTATTGTTCATTCCAAAACTTGACTATAGGGATTCCAGTACCACAAGAAGTCCACTAGAGTTACCAGATTTGGTTGAGTGAATTCATCTTCTCGGCATTTTTTCATATGCTATTCAATACTATCACTTGCTTTGACATTGCATGTTCATAGATGGGTAGTAGAGAACAGATTGGATGAGCTGAGTTTTGCAAGGCAGAAGTCTGCATACTGTTATTTCTCTGCTGCAGCAACCTTTTCCGCTCCTGAACTATCAGATGCTCGCATGTCATGGGCCAAAAATGGTGTGCTGACGACAGTGGTTGATGACTTCTTTGATGTTGGAGGTTCTGTAGAGGAATTAAAAAATCTAATTCAGTTAGTTGAAATGTAAGTCTCCTGCTTCCCTGTCCTCCTTACTCGGGTTGCCAACTAATCCGTGAGTTCTGCATATTCTCAAATATGAGAATAATCACATGACATCATAACTATTACAGATGGGATGTAAATGTTGCTACTGATTGCTGCTCTGAGAAAGTCCGGATCATATTTTCTGCACTTCAAAGCACAATCTGCCAGATTGGAGATAAAGGACTCATGCACCAAGAACGCTGTGTGACAGACCATATAATTGACATTGTGAGATCCCTACTTCATCCTCATTCTATGGATATGTGTTTATTTGACAAACAGGGTTAACTGAGAATATGAGCAAGGAAACATTGACTCGTATCTTCCTCAACGGCTTCCCCTCACTCCTCATTCAGTCCTCCTACCAGTCGTCCTACCAGATGAAACCTAAATGATATAGAACTGACGTACATAATGTTACTTTCTATTTGAATGTCCTAACAAAAGCAGTTATAAGTTTTCTCCTTAAAAATAATGTACAGTGTGAGAAATATGACCAAAAATCCATCTCCTTCTGCTATCGTTTACGACAATCCCTAATTATCATGTGAATCATCTGTCTGTTATCTTTTTAATTGCTCATACATTGAAGATTTCATGCTCCTTTGCATCCTGCACGCAAGCATAGTTGGTCTAGAATTGGATATACCGTTTTGTATCTTCATGCTCTAGTTCTAAATGTTTCTTTCGGTAGCACTGTTACTTCAGAGGAACAGAGCTTTACTTTTGTTTCGAACTGTCTCTCTCATATACTACAAGTTTTCGTTATGCAAATATGAATATCTGATCCAGGGTATTGAATAAGCTCACTAATATATATCATAGATCCAATTTTTTTTACCATATCTGGTTTTGTCAAATATTAAATTTTTCTTCCGGGGCATGTGCTTTTTGAGTCTATTTCATAACATTCAGTAATAAATAATTCCACAAATGCCAAAAACGGTGTTCATTATGAAAGTTCTGAAGTAAATTCATTTCTTGATTCAAAACATGAATTTAACCCTTTTATCTGCATTTGCAGTGGCTTAATTTACTACATTCTATGTTGAAAGAAACTGAATGGGCTAGAGACAAGTATGTGCCAACAAGGGATGAATATATGAGCAACGCATACGTGTCATTTGCCTTAGGGCCCATTGTCCTTCCAACTCTTTATTTCGTCGGACATAAGCTTTCTAATGAGGTGGTTCACCATTTTGAAGTTCATAATCTATTCAAACTGATGAGCACGTGTGGACGTCTGCTAAATGATATCCAGTCTTTCAAGGTAAACATGCACAGGTCTTCTTGGGTACTCAAAAATTTCAGTTTTTTCACTATATTCACCTTTGAATTTGATCGAGTCGATTCTATGGTGTAACAGAGAGAGTCCAAGGAGGGAAAACTAAACGCGCTGTCATTGTACATAAGCAGTGGTGGTACTGGTAGTGACATAACTGAAGAAGCTGCAATTACTGAAATGAAACTGTTGATCAGCAGCCAAAGGAGAGAACTGCTGAGACTAGTTCTGCAGGGAAAGAACAGTGTTTTGCCAAAAGCTTGCAAGGATTTGTTTTGGCATATGTGCACAGTGCTGCATCTCTTTTACAATAAAGACGATGGATTCACCTCAGAAGAGATGATCAGCGTTGTAAAAGCAATTATTCATCAACCCATTGTAGTCGATGATGAATTCGAATTCAAGGCCTAATATGATAAAATTATAAAAATTTCTTAAAAGCAATTATTCATCAACCCATTGTAGTCGATGATGAATTCGAATTCAAGGCCTAATATGATAAAATTATAAAAATTTCTTAAAAGCAATTATTCATCAACCCATTGTAGTCGATGATGAATTCGAATTCAAGGCCTAATATGATAAAATTATAAAAATTTCTTAAAAGCAATTATTCATCAACCCATTGTAGTCGATGATGAATTCGAATTCAAGGCCTAATATGATAAAATTATAAAAATTTCTCAATAAATACCGGTGTCGACGATGCCCAGATTAGTTTTCTCTGCCTACTCCTCTCGTAATCACTCAATTTAATACATCCAATGAGGTGGATTTAGACTGTATTTCTAGTTACTGGTAATTGAAATGATGAATAATTGGGAAAACACTATATATGAGTTTATATAAGTAAAAAGATTAGGTAAAGGTTAAAGGTTACAAGACAATTATTCATTTTTTTATGTAAAAATATTGTTTATAAGTAAAAAATAATATTTATTATACCTAAAAAAGTCACTAATAAGTAATGGGAATTTGGCAAAATAGTCCTTAAGCTTTGCCTTCAGCGTGCTAATGGTCCTTCGTATATTTTTTTGACACGGATGTGCTATACACGTGTTTTGGTGTGCAATTGGTCCTTTTTATTTAAAAATAAATAATAATAAAATATGCCCTTGATTTTAATTAGAAAAAATTGCAATGAGAGTTGAAGAAAACCTTGAATAAAAATTAGGATAGTGAAAAAATGACTTGTACATTTTTATGACATTCAACCCGATTTTATGTTGTTTTTATTATTTAAATACTGATAAAAAAATTTTAATTTACAAATTAGCATATGTTATTTTCTAAATGAAAAATAAAATATGAAGAATAGAATAGCTCCTTAATTATATTGATTTTATGTTTGTACCGTATTAATATTTAAAAACATATATTTTAACGATAATTAAATATTACTATATATCAATACCTCAAGAATTGTTGGTATTGTGTATTTATTTAATAAACGGTCTAGTTATGGTCGGTCTCTTTTGAATGATCAATCACTAAAAAATTTTAAAAACTTATTCTACCAATTAGGGCTGTAAGCAAAAATCATAAAACTGAAAAATTGAACTGAAACCATATTTTAGAAACCGTCGATTTGGTGCCACGTGGACCCGGTCAACGAAATTGTTTTGAACCAAACCAAACAGGTCAAAATGGTTTGGTTTAGGTTTGAGAATTTTAATTGCGATTTAAAACCAAATCAGACCAACAAAAAATATATATAAATAAAAAAATGAAATTTTTTGAAAATTCATCCAAATATGTAAAATTCAATAGTTTTGTCTTTTGTGGGTATTTTTATCAATTTCTAATTTTCGAATACATATATATTATTATTATTATCTAATAATCCTAATTTATATTTAATAATCTCAAAATTAACATAATCTATCAAAAGTCATATTCCTCTTCAGAATTCAGATAAACTCTAACCGACACCCGACACAGTCTTGAGCCACGACACCATACACACTTTTTCTTTATATTTTTTATGCATTTTCAAAGTTGAATTGTAGTCCATTACACTAAATCGGAGACAAAGAGATCCTAGGCCTTCGATGATAATATTTACTACGAATAAAGTTTCAAATCAATAATCTTTTTGAGCAAACTAAGGTAAGAATCTAAAATTAAATGTGTTTCGTAACATACAAACGTAAGCTTGTTTAATTGTTATGTTTAGAGGTCTCTTTTGAATGATCAATCACTAAAAAATTTTAAAAACTTATTCTACCAATTAGGGCTGTAAGCAAAAATCATAAAACCGAAAAATCGAACTGAAACCATATTTTAGAAACCGTCGATTTGGTGCCACGTGGACCCGGTCAACGAAATTGTTTTGAACCAAACCAAACAGGTCAAAATGGTTTGGTTTAGGTTTGAGAATTTTAATTGCGATTTAAAACCAAATCGAACCAACAAAAAATATATATAAATAAAAAAATGAAATTTTTTGAAAATTCATCCAAATATGTAAAATTCAATAGTTTTGTCTTTTGTGGGTATTTTTATCAATTTCTAATTTTCGAATACATATATATTTTTATTATTATCTAATAATCCTAATTTATATTTAATAATCTCAAAATTAACATAATCTATCAAAAGTCATTTTCCTCTTCAGAATTCAGATAAACTCTAACCGACACCCGACACAGTCTTGAGCCACCGACACCATACACACTTTTTCTTTATATTTTTTATGCATTTTCAAAGTTGAATTGTAGTCAATTACACTAAATCGGAGACAAAGAGATCCTAGGCCTTCGATGATAATATTTACTACGAATAAATTTTCAAATCAATAATTTTTTTGAGCAAACTAAGGTAAGAATCTAAAATTAAATGTGTTTCGTAACATACAAACGTAAGCTTGTTTAATTGTTATGTTTAGATATTATAAACAACTGCTTTATTATTGTGGTTGGTTATTCTTTATCTAATCAGTAACCTTTTTTTCAAATATGATGATCACGTGGTCTTGTGGGATATCACTACATTTTTTGGACCTTATACCTTGTTTAGTAGACTTGTTTTAAACGTTGTCATAAAGTAATTAGCCAAAAAAAGGTGAAAAAAAATGAAAAAAAAATTATGTTTTCGTTTATTGTGATTTCACTTTGATTTAATAGATATTTAAATTTATAGTAGATATATTTAACCCTTGTTTGAGCCATATTTTCCATGTTATCATAATGAGAAAATTGATCGTTGGAGAGGAGGTTGGGTCTCACGCATGAAACAACAGATCAACAAATGAAGTTGGACTTGTGGGATAATGGTCTAAATTTTCATATTTTTTGTCCCAAAAATTTGGTTCAAACAAGGATTTAGATTGTTTTAGATTTATAGCTAGTAAGATATAAATATGTATTGAATTCAATGAATTAATGTCATAAAAGTAGACAGACAAAAATATATACGGTGAAATCAACGGTTTAAAATCGGACCAAACCGTTAGGTTTAGGTTTGAGTTTTTTTTAAACCGTTCAAAATAGTTTGGTTTAAATTTGGGTTTTTCTCAAACCGATTTAAACGGTTTAGTTTAAAAATTTGTCAAAAATCGGTAAAATCGGACCGCTTACACCCCTACTACCAACTATATTTTACATGGCTTCTACCGTCCAAGTCTATAGAATGAATTTTATTTTTTAATTTTTTTTTCCACTTATGAATAAAAGATTTATGTACGAGTAAATAAGAAGTAAAAGAATTCATTTAATAAGTTCAACAAGTTTCTTACAAGTACAAATAATGTCATAATTTTTTTTTTTATTTATTTATACGGTCTTTTGCTATGATTTAGCATCAAAATCATATTAGAACAATACCTTCCTAATTCACTCAAATATACAAATATGATTATCACGTGGTCTTGTGGGATATCACTATGTTTTTTGGACCTTATACCTTGTTTAGTAGACTTGTTTTATAACGTTGTCATAAAGTAATTAGCCTAAAAAAGGTGAAAAAATGAAAAAAAATTATGTTTTAGTTTATTGTGATTTCACTTTGATTTAATAGATATTTAAATTTATAGTAGATATATTTAACCCTTGTTTGAGCCATATTTTCCATGTTATCATAATGAGAAAATTGACCGTTGGAGAGGAGGTTGGGTCTCACGCATGAAACAACAGATCAACAAATGAAGTTGGACTTGTGGGATAATGGTCTAAATTTTCATATTTTTTGTCCCAAAAATTTGGTTCAAACAAGGATTTAGATTGTTTTAGATTTATAGCCAGTAAGATATAAATATGTATTGAATTCAATGAATTAATGTCATAAAAGTAGACAGACAAAATATATACGGTGAAATCAACGTTTTAAAATCGGACCAAACCGTTAGGTTTAGGTTTGAATTTTTTTTAAACCGTTCAAAATAGTTTGGTTTAAATTTGGGTTTTTCTCAAACCGATTTAAAGGGTTTAGTTTAAAAATTTGTCAAAAATCGGTAAAATCGGACCGCTTACACCCCTACTACCAACTATATTTTACATGGCTTCTACCGTCCAAGTCTATAGAATGAATTTTATTTTTTATTTTTTTTTTCCACTTATGAATAAAAGATTTATGTACGAGTAAATAAGAAGTAAAAGAATTCATTTAATAAGTTCAACAAGTTTCTTACAAGTACAAATAATGTCATAATTTTTTATTTTTATTTATTTATACGGTCTTTTGCTATGATTTAGCATCAAAATCATATTAGAACAATACCTTCCTAATTCACTCAAATATAGCTCCGTTTGATTATGATTTTTCAAGCCAAAAAACCAGATTTTTAATCGTTATTTAACATGGTCGGCTGTCATTTTTGACTTTTTCACTCACAAGTAGAATTTACTTTCTTCTTTAACGGTCAAAAATTGATTCTATGGATTAATACCAAACATGCCCTAATTTCAATATATGGTGTGTCAAAAGTGCCCTCAAGGATAATACGCCGTCCAATGTATTCAAATTTCATTAACGTACCTTGGGATTACAATTTGCAGCAATACTGTATTATTTGATTATTTCATTTTTAAAATAAAGCCATAATTATTGGTGGAAAAAGACAAAATAAATATATAGGTTGTTGAAGTTGTATAAAAATTTAAAAGTTCCACTCTTTGTGTACGAAAATTCTTGAAAATGCTCTTTTTGCACAATATCAATGGATTTTTTGGATAAAAATCGTCTGGACAAACCCGTCTTATTTATTAAAGTTGAGGATGGATTTGTCAGGAAAAAAATGTTGGGGACAATATTGAAAAGTATCTCCAACTTTGGGGACGGTAGTGGAAATTTACTTTATTTCATCTACATGTATCTGGCCAAATTCTCAGGGTTTTGCCAAGCTCCACCATAGTCATCCTTCTACATAATCCATACAAACGGAAACCATCCAAAATTTTTCTGTTCTTTCAGTTCAGTAATCTATTAGCATTCGGATTTTTTGGATAAAAATCGTCTGGACAAACCCGTCTTATTTATTAAAGTTGAGGATGGATTTGTCAGGAAAAATGTTGGGGACAATATTGAAAAGTATCTCCAACTTTGGGGACGGTAGTGGAAATTTACTTATTTCATCTACATGTATCTGGCCAGAATCTCAGGGTTTTGCCAAGCTCCATCATAGTCATCCTTCTACATAATCCATACAAACGGAAACCATCCAAAATTTTTCTGTTCTTTCAGTTCAGTAATCTATTAGCATTTATAGAATGCTTCTTCGGACCCTTTTGTTTTCCCAAAATCTCAGGCATGGAAGGTATGCTTTTAATAAAAATCTTATAAAGATGGGATTTTTATCGTATTTCGATAACCCCGTTTCGAATTCCCCACCAATCAATGCGGAGAACTGTAAATTTATTAGAAATTACTGTTCAGGGAATCATAGGAGTGAAGATTCCACCGAGTGGACTGAGGAAATACAGTATTTGGATGAGTCAGGAAGTGTTATTTTCTCCGGTAAGGGAATAAGATCAGTCGAGCCAGGGGTAGATGACCATGTAATGGTGGGAGGGATTAAAAAGCCCATGTTGAATGCCTCTGCCGTTGCTAAGATGGTTGAGGTTGTAAAGAGGTGGAGATGGGGCCCTGATATGGAGACCCAATTGGATAAATTGCAGTTTCTGCCAAATATGACTCACATTGTGCAGGCCTTGAAGATCATAGATGATGCTGATGCTTCATTGAGTCTGTTTCGATGGGCTAAGAGGCAATCTTGGTACGTACCAAATGATGAATGCTATATTACATTGTTTGATAGGTTGAATTTGAGCAGGGATTTTGATGAAATACGGTTGGTTTTTGATGAAATGGTTCGTGATTCCGGTGAAAATTTGATGTCGTCCTTTCGTGCATACAACAGGGTAATTCAATACTTGGCTAAGGCTGAGAAATTGGAGGTGGCATTCTGTTGTTTCAAGAAAATTCAGGAGTCTGGTTGTAAACTTGACATCCAATCATATAATTCGCTCATAACTTTGTTTCTGAATAAAGGGTTGCCTTATAAGGCATTTGAGATTTATGAAAACATGGAAAAAGCTGGTTGTTCCTTGGATGCTTCGACTTATGACTTGATGATACCGAACCTTGCTAAGTCTGGTCGTCTTGACGCGGCAATGAAGCTTTTTCAGGAGATGAAAGAGAAGAATTATCGACCAAGTTTTGGGATTTTTGCTTCTCTTGTTGATTCAATGGGTAAGGCTGGGAGGTTAGATACATCAATGAAATTATACATGGAAATGCAAGGTCTTGGGTTGAGGACATCTGGAGCCATGTATGTTTCTCTAATTGAGTCATATGTTAAGGCTGGAAAGCTGGAGACAGCTCTCAGGCTGTGGGACGAGATGAAGAAGGCAGGATTTAGACCTAACTATGGGCTCTACACCATAATTGTTGAGTCCCATGCCAAGTCTGGGAAGCTCGATATTGCAATGTCGATCTTCTCGGATATGGAAAAGGCTGGATTTCTACCTACTCCATCCACCTACTCCTCTCTTCTGGAGATGCATGCTGCTTCTGGTCAAGTAGATGCTGCCATGAAATTGTATAACTCGACGACGAATGCTGGTTTGAGACCAGGTTTAAGCACTTACTCAGCTCTTCTGAGTTTACTTGCAAAGAAGAAGCTTGTGGATGTGGCTGCAAAAATCTTGCTTGAGATGAAGACCATGGGATACTCTATTGAAGTGAACGCTAGTGACATTCTGATGATTTACATTAAGGATGGTTCCGTTGATCTTGCTTTGAAGTGGCTGCAGTTCATGGGTTCATCAGGCATCCGAACAAATAACTTCATAATTCGGCAGCTCTTTGAATCGTGCATGAAGAGTGGCTTATACGAGTCTGCCAAACCTCTCCTTGAAACGTATGTAAATTCTGCTGCTAAGGTTGATCTCATACTTTACACATCAATTCTAGCCTATCTTGTTAGGTGCCAGGACGAGAACACTGAGAGGCATTTGATGTCAATCTTGAGTACTACAAAGCACAAGGCTCACGCATTTTTGTGTGGACTCTTCACAGGACCTGAACAGAGGAAACAACCAGTTTTATCATTTGTTAGGGAGTTTTTCCAAGGTATTGATTATGAGTTGGAGGAAGGAGCTGCAAGATATTTTGTTAATGTCCTTCTTAATTACCTTGTTCTAATGGGGCAAATAAATCGTGCTCGTTGTGTTTGGAAAGTTGCTTACGAGAACAAGCTCTTTCCCAAGGCAATAGTGTTTGATCAACACATTGCCTGGTCTCTTGATGTTAGGAACTTGTCAGTTGGAGCAGCTCTTATAGCAGTTGTACACACCCTTCATAGATTCAGAAAGCGCATGTTGTACTACGGTGTTGTCCCAAGACGGATCAAATTAGTCACGGGACCAAATTTGAAGATTGTGATTGCTCAAATGCTGAGCTCAGTTGAATCACCATTTGAGGTCAGTAAGGTTGTTTTGAGGGCTCCAGGGGATACAGTGCTAGAGTGGTTTAAGAAACCAATTGTACAGCAATTCCTTGTGAATGAGATTCCATCAAGATCAGATATTTTGATGCATAAATTAAACACCCTTTTTCCTAGTTCAGCACCTGAAATAAGATCTCTGTCCCCTCCTAAACCTCTTGTTTCCGGGAAGGCTCTGTAACTATGAACACGTGTAATGTACTACAATTCAAGTTATTGATTAACTGATGCCAGGTTTGCACGAGTATTTGAAAGTAATGATGCCTCCATGTTTTAATTTGATGATTTTCTTGCTGCGGATTGAGTCTTGAGCTTAAAACTAGGTTGAACTCTTTTGGTAGTTGTTTGACATTTCCATCTGTGATATCTGAATGGTGTTTATTTGAGTTTGATCTTATCGTCTGTTTATTAACTAACTTAAGCTAAATCTTGTTTATTCACTCATTAGAGCCTGTTCTTGATAATTTCCTTGTAATATGTGGACTACATCAAGATTTTGATGCTGGAAGTGCATTTTCCTTCCATATATGCTTGTGCTAGCAAATGTAAAAGATTTTGTGGAACCTGACTCCCCTTAAGTTTTGACTGGTTGTAATTGAACTATCAGTCTCATCTCTACTTCCCACACAATGTTCTCCTAAATGGTGAGTTTATTTGCTGTTGATAGAAATTTTAAGCTCGATATGTCTGGAGTCGGATTATGTTACTATTTTCTGATATACGCTGATTTTTTTGATAATTATTCATCTATAAGTATAAACCAATTGCTGATAATCTGCTTAATCGAAATAATTTGGCATAGTAAAAAAGTTACTCAATGCTAGGATCCCTTCAGTAAAGCCACATCTGGAGTTCTATGCCTTTTGGCATTAAACCCACTGTTTTAGGTTCGAACTTTGTCTCGAAAGTTTTTCTTTGTGAATTGATTCTGGAATCCATTTATTTTTCCCTCTCTCTTAACATTAAAATGTGATCTGGTGGAAGTTTTTATCCCATTTTGCTGAAATCAGGACTTTTTTTTGGGTTCTTTATTAGTTTGATCCAGATTGTTATTTAACTGTTGACTCATTAAATGTGAACAATTTCTTCTCAATATAGTTTGTGTTTTATGGATGTCATATTAAATATTCCTTCCGTCCCATAAAAAATAGACTTGCTTTCCTTTTTGTTTGTCTTAAATTATGGACTACTTTTCTTGCTGAGACTATAGCTAATTTATACAAAATAAAATAAAATAAATTCTAACGTACCTATTTAACCATTATTTAATGTAGAGGTATATTACGAAAATTGTAAATAAAATTTATATTAATTATATTTTCTTAATCTATTTGAAAACGGAAAATGTCTTTATCTTTATGAGATGGAGAGATTATAAATTATGGAACTTTTATTTTTCTATTTATAAATCAGTACAAAATTCTACATTTTAATCTTTCAAACAGCTTCATCGGACCCTGGAGTTGAAAGCGTGGCATCAGCTAAAACTACATTATCTGTCCGAAAAGTTTGGTTCGGTTCGGTTCTAAAGAGAACCGAACCGAACCGACCCGTGCCCACCCCTAACATTATCTGATCCAGTATGAATATCTTATCCAGGGTATTGAGCGAGCTCTTATTAAAGGATATCCAGTCTTTCAAGGGTTTAAAGGGCTGGGCAAATCTCCCGAACCGAATCGACCGAACCGAACCCGAACCGAACCGATCCGAACCCGACGGTTCTTGTCAAATTAAATACCCGAACGGGTATCTGAATTGAGAATTTATCTTACGACTAACACACATCAAGTCATTCTTGGCCATATATAAAACATTCTATCTGCCAAATTATTCGTTCAAAAGAAAGAAAATAAAGATATTGTAGCGTCAACTGCACCACTGGAAGTAATAACACAACGACACTACTCTTTCCTAATCGGGGAGTAACAAAGACAAAGTTAAAAGAATATATGGGAAAACCTCATTTAGGAGTCAAACTGAAAACCTAAGAGTCCCATGTTTTGGTCATAAAGCTTTGAAAAGATCCCGTACTAAGATAGACTTGGCCGAAGTTCGATTTGTGTGGCGCACGTTATTTATTCTATTATGAAACCAATATAGCACTTTTAGAACCATCCATAACCCGCAGTTATCGTCCGATATTTGGGAGCTTGGTGAAGATTTTAAAACGATTTCTTCTCATAAGAAACCAATCCATGAATGCCACCTTCAACCTGTGCTGCTCCAGTTCTTACCTGAAAAGTAAAAGGAAAAAAAAACTTCAGTTCAACAAAGTTCACTAATCGCAGCAGATAAGAATCTTCCCACATTTAAAAAGTTTATCCCTTCATTTGGAAGGATTGATATGGGAATTGGTCAAGGCAGTTAGGAATTGAGGGTATTTGCTTTGGCAATTTTTATCAGGTTTCAATTCTCAAGAATCCAGTCCTTGTTACACTGAATTCAAAGTCTAACGAATAACGAACTGAATTCTATAATTCTCAAGAAATCTAATTTGGCTAATCATGTATCCTAAAATGACTTCATATTTAGCATGAACTATAGCTAGAATAGCAATGAAAGGAAAACCAACAGCATTAATCCAACCTCAAGCCTTAGCACGCTTGATCTCAAAAGATCATGAGCAGACTGCAGGGAGGAAGCACCAAGATCCTGGAAACCCTGCTTTACTGCTTGCATTGTGTAAGGAATAAACTTCAATATAGAACCTTTATCTGCAACTGACCCAACAACCCCTTGAGCAATCTTCAACTTTGCCGTATCACCCAAGTACCTAGCATCACTCCCTTTCATCATTGCTTCTAGTGATCCCATTCCTCGATACTTTTTGACTCGATGACCACCCTATAATTGCAGGTTTCAGGTAATTTGACAGGGTTATAATGTAGTCACTAGTGGGAATATTCTACAGGAAAAACTAAATCAATGCATAAAAATGAGAGAGAGAGAGAGAGAGAGAGAGAACAACCGCATAAAAAATTAATAAAATAAGAAAATGGAATTATGAGTACATAATAGAACAAGCAGACATGTCAACGAAAAGCAACATGTAATCTTAAGCCTGCTAATTTTAAACATTCTGAACGCATAGTTATTACAATTGTGCTTCAATTATATTATATTCTGTCATTACCTGAGTACATTCTAATACTTAGTCAGACAGAAGCGATAATCACATTTAATTATATACTGCAATCTTCGTAATTTCATATTCATATATCATTTGCCTGATGTTCCAGGTTTAGCACAGATATATCTTATCTCACTTTATAATGGGATTTAGAGGCTCTGGCAAGACAGTTCTGTATCTGCAGAGGGGAGTGATTAACTGATAAATTTATTCTAATACTTAGTCAGACAGAAGCGATAATCACATTTAATTATATACTGCAATCTTCGTAATTTCATATTCATATATCATTTGCCTGATGTTCCAGGTTTAGCACAGATATATCTTATCTCACTTTATAATGGGATTTAGAGGCTCTGGCAAGACAGTTCTGTATCTGCAGAGGGGAGTGATTAACTGATAAATTCCAAGTTTTCAATATAAGCACACTCATAAAATAATAATAATATAAATAACAATAACATCATAAGCACACAGGCAGCTACCTTGAACTTAGGACAAATAGACCAACCTTCAGAACAGGCAATAGGTGAATAGAAAATATCACGATCTCAAAGCTGGAGGAAAGTTTAAATGTTAGACATACAATACACAAAATGCAACAAGCACCTGATTTATGTAAGTGCCAGGAGCTTCACTGCTTCCGGCTAAGAAGCTTCCCATCATTACAGTTGATGCCCCTAAGACCAAAGCCTTGACAATGTGCCCGGAATTTGAAATGCCGCCATCAGCAATTACAGGCACACCACTCTGTGCAGCAACTGATGCAACCTTGTAAACAGCCATTGCCTGAAAATTTTACACCAGAATATAATAACATAAGTTAAAATGGCAGCATTTCAAATAATTCCATATTAGTATCAAACTGCTAAATAATACATTCAAAACCCATGTCAAACAAATCTTTGCAATGGCAAACAGTGCACATATACTTATTAACGTGCACCAAGACATGAATTTGTCTATAAACAAAAAATGATGCTGGGAGGACTGAGAAACCACTTAGAACGGACTATTATAGTTACAAAAAGAAAGAAGGTGATAAAATCATGCAATTTTTTTTATTTTTTTTTATTAAATCTCAAAATTCATACAAATGTTTTAGACTAAGGAAGGCATTTTTATCATTCAAAGGTGTTTTATCAATCGAATCATCTTTAAAGATACACTCGAGACACAAAACAGTATATACAACTACATTGTAGAGAGCAACAGAGGCAAATTAGTAATATTTATTAGCATACCAACATCCCATTCCATCTAACATACTAAATTACCAAATTGATTCCAACATCTTATTCTATCTTACTAAATACCAAACTGAGTCCAACGTTCTGTTCTATCCAACAAATGCACTCCAAAATATATAATTGATAGCTGCAATTATAAACTGAACATATAGATCAAATCTTTGCAAATCAATACCTGCCCACGCCCAACAGCACATACTTCCTGAGTGGTACAAATGGATCCTGATCCCATCCCAACTCTCAGCCCATCTACTCCTGCCTGAATCAAGTTTTGTGCCTGGTATGTTGTCACCACATTCCCACCAATCAAATCCAAATCGGGATAAGTATTCTTAGCATACTTAATCATGTCAATCTGGTAACTCGAATTCCCTTGCGAACTATCCAAAACCACGACATTCACCCCAGCCTTAACCAAATGCTCCAATCTTTCCTTATCGGACTCCCTTGTCCCTATAGCTGCCCCCACTAAAAACTCACCATCCAAGCCCACCGACGGCAGTCCCAATTTCGGAAAGCCTTTTATCCTCTCACAGTCGTCAGTAGTCACTAGATTCACTATTTCTTCTCCTTCATCATTTTTATCACTTACTAACGGTACAAATTCAAGCTCGTTTTTTACTAAATAGCCTGCAATATCCTCAAATTTATAACTAGCCGGCAATGAAACCATGGACTTTGTCATGTACTCTGAAATCCTAGCTTCCTTATCAGTTACTTTTTCCCATTCAGATATTTTAACAATCCCCAATAGTTTCGATTTCTGGGTTCCAGATTCAGTTACAAAAATGCAAGGAGAAGATGAAAACTCATCAGCGGATAGAATCGAATCAGAGGGAGATTTGAAAATGAGTTCATGCCTGAAGGGAATTTTGTGCGATTTAGCTAGTCGAACCAATGAGGCCTGGTGTGAAGGCGTGGTGTTAGAATGGACTATGCCGATTGCACCAAGGGAGGCCATGGCGGCCGCCATGGAGGACTCAGTCACAGTGTCCATGGGGGAGGCGACGCAGGGTGTAGCAAGGGCAATGCGACGGCTGAGTTTCGTGGAGAGTGAGACGGCATCGGTTGGGAAATCGATGTAGTGGGGAAGGAAGATAACGTCATCATACGTGTACGAATATCCCTGGTTGAAGAGCCGTGTCGCCGGAAATCCATCTTCTATAACTGGAGCTCCGTCCATGATCGCCGTCGCCAAAAAATTTAGGGCTTTTAGATATTGACAGAGAGTCAGAAGTCACGACTGGCCAGTAAAATAACGAAGATAGCAGACAGCACTATAGAGGTGGAGGGAAAAATCCAAACAGCAGTCAACACTAATAAGACTATTATTAGAGGATAAAAATTAAAAATTAAAAATAAAAAATAAAAAATCTATCTTTACTCATATCAAGGGATAAATTTAAGTTGAAATATAACTCTCCCACCCTCGTGCAAACTAGACATGATAAAGTCCTTGTTTGGATTGAATTTTTAGTAGATTTTAATAAAAAATAATGAAATTTGTAATGAAAAATTGAAAAAAATTGTTAGATCTGATTAAAAATGAGTTTGAATAAAAATAAATTTTGGAAAACTGGATCCAAACCAAAATTTGAGTTCAAAATACTCACGAGTGGTATGTGGGCCTTAGTTTTGCTATCCAATTTATCAAGTTTTGGCGATCATGTTATATTGCAATTTGTTGAGAGTGGAGGATTAAGTCCATTTCAAGATATCAAGATATCAATTATATTTCGAGCCTGACAAGACGAGAAGTGACGATGAGTCTAAATTCGAGAACGAATTTTTCGATATAGAGAGAATGGTGCTGTACATAATTGGAATGGTCAAAGCTTCTTTTTAACTACTTTTTTTTTTTAACTTCTCTTTATAGTATAATTTAATTAAAAGCTTAACTGGGAATTGTTTTGTCATCTTAGTCTATTATGGTTTTCATATTTAAATGTTAGGACTTTTTGTAAGATCAATAATAATGCCTAAATGCCACTCTTTCAATATATATATCTTTAATTAATTTAAAAATTGGGCAAAGAATTAAAACTATAATTACACAATACAATGCAATCAACACAACGTCGCGTGTAAAATAATGTTATTTCTCTATGAAAATGATCGCCGTTAATAAATAACATATGGGTAAATATATATACACACAATTTTTGTTAACTACATCACATTATAATCATAATCAATGTCCTTAAATTTTGTTATTTTTATATTAATGCCCTTTACTTCTTTTTTTCATAATTAAATTTCAAGATTATTTTATGATACATGTTGTTCTTGATGACAGTAAAAAAATTCGTTAGATGAAGTAAAAAGACCTCTATTCCCTCATATTTTAAAATAAGCAAGATTAACAAGAAATACATAAGTTCAACAATATGTTTTCCTCGCGTAAATATATTAATTGGATAAAAATCTTTATATAAGACAATATTTTTATCATTGATAGAATTCTAAAGATAAAAATTTGAAGAAAAGAAGGTGGAAATATATTGCAAAAAATTAGCAAAATTTAAGGATCTTCATTGCAATTAAGAAATTTGGTATGAATATATTCTAAATAATTATTTTTTCGAAAAAGGCACTCAACGAATAATATTTTATATTTCCAAAATCCAGAAAAAAGAAAAAAAAAATTGTTATTCGTTCAACAAATATGTACAATATCTTACAAATCCGTTGTCAAAACAAAGAAATTAATATAATCATAGGAATCTGCAAAAGATGGCAAAAGATGGTATTGTCTTCAAAAAAATCAGTAGTAGATGAAATGACAGCCATTGTAACCTGAAATTAACCAAAACGAACAAATTAATTTCAAAATATTTGAGCCACTTTTAAGTACAATCGGACATAAAAAAATGAACTTACTTGGATCTATGGTGACAAGAATGGACGTTCCGCCGAATTCACAAGTGCCTCCAGCCACCTTAGTTCTTTGCCAAAAGCTATTGAATGCATATGACGCATGTGCGAATAGAGTGTTAGGCTGAAAACACGATCCACTGGGCTGAATTTGATCGCAATCGGCTCCGGCCCCGCATGCATAGTTCATTGCCTCTTGGATGATCGGGTCAGGTACAGATGGCTTCGCCACGCACCAAAGTGTCGTGGAGGAGGTGTGAGGCGGCGGTGGCACCGTCGGTGGTGGATAAACAATGGGCGGCAAGAAAATGTGTGGGCTCGGAACGTATCCGCCGGAAGGCGACGGGACATTAATGGGCGGGCCGGGGGTAAAGTAAGGTGGGCTAAGCCCAGGTTGATTTGGTGTAGGAACATTATATGGTGGGCTTGGTACATAATCAGGTGGATTTGGGACAACACTAGGTGGGCTAGGAACAGTAGTTGGTGGGTTTGGGCCGGGTAATGTGGGCCCAGAAGAAGCTGGAGGGGGTAATGGGGTGTAGCCACTTGTTGGGCTTGGGATTGTGGAAGGGGGCTGTGGGGTAGATGGGGGATATGAACCATATGGAGGGCTATTATCAGGCAAGGGAATGGGAGCAAGGGAGTCATAGGGTGGCATAGAGGATGGTGAACTAAGATAAGGATTACTATTTGATGAATCCAATGGCATAACAAATTGCTTAAAAATGGGATCCAAAAAGGAGTGTCCTTTTCCTGTGTCGAACCGCTTCAAATTGTGCATTTTTCTAGTAAATTTGATGCTCCAACTTCTTGAATGTTGTTGAGTATTGAAAGAGTTAGCCGACTTTCTCGCATCTGATCAATATCAAATGACATATCACATATTAAAAATTAAAAACTCTAGTTATATACCATCAAAAGAAATAGAATTGCAGCAAAAAATAATAGATTTATAGAGGTTCACATTAATGTCGCTACAGTAATTCATGATGGATAGAAGTTTACAAAAAAAAAAAAAAAAAAAAAAATCTCATAAGCTATTTTTTCTAACATTTCGCTCATTTGATGATGACCAAATCAAATACTAGTTATATACCATCAAAAGAAATAGAATCGCAGCAAAAAATAATAGATTTATAGAGGTTCACATTAATGTCGCTACAGTAATTCATGATGGATAGAAGCTTACAAAACAAAAAAAAAAAAAAACAAAAAAAATCGCATACCCTATTTTTTCTAACATTTCGCTCATTTGATGATGATCAAATCAAATAAACCCTAATGGCGACTCTCTATTTATAAGAAAAATTAGGACACAGCTATGATAAACCGAGACTTATGAACTTACCACAATGTAAGAGGGATATGGCTGCAAAACACCAGCAGAGACCTCGAATGTACAATGTAAGACGAGCACTGTGTTTATCCATGTCTTAGTTTAGACGAAGACTTCAAACTAAAGCTAGTTTGCTCCCACTCCACAGATACTAACTCTAAGAATCAAGGGATTTATATAGAATGACCGAAACAGTGAAGGAATTGTGCATAAAGGTGATTCTTTAGAAGCAGGCAGCGGCTCACTTTGTAATGCCACAGATTGCTAGGATAATGTGTGTGCATGAAGAAATGTAAAAGAGTGAAAGAAAAGAAGCATAATTGCATTATTAGGATAAGGGTATATTTGGGTACGTAGAAGTTGGCATATATGCTTGCTTGATAGAAGGAAATACCCAAAAGTTTGAGTTTTTAGGACTTTTCTTTTGCTTGCTTTCTACTCAAAGCCCTTCTGACCATCCTCCATTGCCTCCCACTTTCTGGTTCATTTAATCAGGTTGATGCTTAAACATAATCTGCTTTTTTAAAGAGTAATCGGCTTATGATGCTTAAACATAATCTGCTTTTTTTTAAGATTAATCTGCTTATGAAGCTTAAACAACTTCCCGTCAACTTTATTGGGCTTGGTTGCCCCCCGGGACATAGCGCAATGGTGCAAAAGACATGAGTGAGGTTATCGCACGCCTTGCTGACGGCCGCAGTGTAAGGGTTCGATTCCTGAAACATAGAATTGGACTCCTTGTAGGCGCAGTGTACAGACAGCTCTTATTCCCTGGTCTGATGGGGTACATCTCGCGATTTACCTCTCTCACAAAATTCTAGGAGCAGGACGGTGGAGCTTTTCAAGGTTGGGGTTCAACCTCTATTGAGCTTGGTTCACCTGAGTGATAAACATTAATAATAGCATTTTTGATGCGATGAACTCAATAATAGTAAGCACAATTAGATAATGAGCATCGATTTAAATGATGAAGCACGTTTATTTAATTTTTACTGTATTTAACATTCTGTTACATATATTTGATAGGCGTGTAGGAAATTATTGGGTGGAATCGTGTGTTTTTTGTTCTTTTTAAGGTTTAAATAAATTTTATAACAAATAAAACTACAGAAGTATTAGTTTTGCAATAATAAAATGAGGGAATATTTTAATTTGTAGTTGGAATAATGATATTAATATATAAATTTAAATAGTGGGTTACAATAAAGTGTTTATTTTAAGTTATAAGTGAATCGAATTAGAGCAAGTTTGATATAACAAAAGCTACGCTATAATTTTGTTTGATTGAAATAGTGCTTTCATTTATTTATTAATCGATAGATAGTTATTAGTTTGGATAAAATATTTATAGAATTTAATAAATATTATAAATTGTTTTTGTCACAAACTTAGCATCTTTTTGGTTTAGATAAAAATGGAAATCAAACGGGGGCTTGGTATATTTTGATAGAAGTTAGCCCCTGTTGATTTCCCACTATTTGGCCATTAAAATGAAAAATATGACCGTGATTCATCACATCAAGTTATCATATTTGAATTTCTATCTTTTGAGTAGGGTCTGTAACGACTATATTTTTTATTCTCATTCTTACATTAATGGAAAACAAACAGGGGCTTAATAAGACATGGGGTCAAAAAATTGAAATAAAGTTGTAAATCCCATAAAATGTTTGGTTGAAAATGAGTTTGAAAAAAAATTTAACCTTACAAAATGGGACAAAATAGGAGCTTAAATTTCAAATTGTCGATGACTTGATATATTTATGAAAGAAAATATTTATCACGGCCAAGTAATAACGTTAGCAATCTGGAATGTATTTCCAATCGACTCAATGCAACTTCAGTATATCATTTACTATGATTTAATATGCTAGTTAAGCTTCAAGAGAAAATTTTGAATGGGATCATATACCTATAGGTTTAAGGGAAAAATTCATCAGATAAATATCACCCATTTCAAAACTAAAAATAAAATTTCAATTTTTAAAAATCAGATATTTAATAAAATTTATTCATGATTTAATTAATTAATTATATATTTTATTAATTAAATATATTAAGGTCATAAATTTATACAGTTTGGTCACAAATTAACAATTTAATTAATCATATATTATTTTTCCATCACGAATCAAAAAATTTATAGATCACAAATTATTTAACGGTCACAAATAAAAAATTTCATAGATCATAATTTGTTTATCGTTCACAAATAAAAAAAATTAAGTCACAATTTATTAATTAATCACAAATCACAAATTCTTCAAGTCATAATTTATTATACAGTCAAAAAATATCAAATTATTGTCACAAATTAACAAAATTTGAGGTCACATATTAGTTTTTTTTTTTTTTTTATCACAATTCACTAATTAACCAATTTAATAGTCATAGTCAACCAAATTGCTTGTAAACCACCACCTCACCACTGTCATTAGGCTCAACGCCACCAAAAAAATAGCCGCGCGCCACAACCACCATTGCCACACTCACAAGGCCACAGCATCACAGAACTCACCGCACCATCGCCACACCCACAGCATCACAAAATTTATTCAACCACCACACCATTGCCACACTCACAGCATTACAATAGCACACCATCACCATCGAACTGCTACCTCCAACCCCATCTTACCATTTGCGGAGCCACCAGATCAAGCGAAAACCCCATCATTCACGGCCACGACCAAGGCCGTACCTGTGCTTCGCGGGGCCTGAGGTGAACTTCGGAATTCGGGCCCTATGCCCTAAGTCGTAGCTAACAATCCCTTTTTTAAAAAAATAAAATAAAAATTTAGAAGTTTACGGAATTAAACTTGTTAACTTAAATCAACAATAAAACAATAAATAAATTTTTTGATGTTCCTTCCTTCTCTTTTCATTAAAGTATTTATTCGTTTCTTTTGAACACATGGACATGATGGCTTTAAAAAAAGGGTAAAAAAGTAAAAAATGGACCCCCTAAAATTCTGGGCCTGAGGCGAAGGCCTCTTGGGCCTCCCATCAGGTCCGACTCTGGCCACGACCATCGCAACCCCCCAGATCCGACCAAAACCCCCATCATTCATTGCGACCACGACCACCACCCACAAATACCACGCAACCAGATCTAGCCAAAACCCCATCATTCACGGCTATCACGACCTCCACGTCTTATTTGGACCCGTTATGTGTCTGGTGCATGAGGCGTCGCACGATGAGCACAGAGCCGAAGCCACCATTCTTCCACATTTTGTTATTGGAGCTGTCGAGAGGGAGAGAGAGGAGTGGGTTATGATTTGTTTTTTGGGTTTTTAGGGTTTATATATATATAATGATTTTAGAATTCTGAATTTTCAAAGTAGGGTATGATGTAATTTTCACTAAGGGTCCGTTTGATTGTAAAGATGGAATTGAATTGGGTGGAAAATGAATTCCAAGAAATTGAATTGCCTGAAATTGTTTTCCTGGGAATTGTAAATTATTGTGTTTAATTGGTATAATTTTTCACATGAAAAATGTTGAAATAAAAGTATTTTTTGATATTCATTTGACTTTATTTTACATAAAAATTGTCAATTAAAATGATGGAATTTACTGGTATTGAGGATGACATTGGTTTCCATCGCCAAAAAGCAAAATAATAATAATAATAATAATAATAAATAATTCAAGAAAATCATCTATTTTTTAGTGTTCGTTTGACTTTATTTTATATGAAAATTATCAATGAAAGAGAAATATTTTTTTTTACAATAATTCTTAGAATTGGTTTCATTAAACACACCCTAAGTTCAAACCATTTGCAGATTATCCGCTTAATTGGAATAAGTTGGCCAAGTATAAATCTATTAATCTTTTACTATAACTAGTCTTTGACACGTGCGTTACACGAGTTTTGTATTTATTGTATTTTTATTAGCGTCAAAATTGTAAATTTTTCAAAACAGGTTGAAGATTTGAAGTATTTGGTGAAGTCTAATCGTTTGGTTCATTATATTATTGTAGGATGCATGGAGATTTCTTTTTTGTTCTTTTATTTTTTCCTCATTTTTATTTATTTTTTATTTGTTTTGTTCATATTATAAATATTTTTTTCGATTTAAAATACTTTTTAATTCATTTTTCTTTATGAAAAAACTTAATTTTTTCAATTTTAATTAAAAAATATTTATGTGTTCTTTATTTAATTTTCGCAACATTCTTTTGTTTTATTTGTTTTGTTTTTATTGTATATTTTTTGAAAATTGTTTAAAAAAAATTCTTCATATTATAAATAATTTTTTGTTAGATTTAAAATTCTTTTCATTCTATGATTTAAATTCTTTTTTCTTCATATTATAAAAAAACTAAATGATTTAACAAATTAAAGATATTAGCATCAAAATTTTAGATTTTTCAAAATTTGTTGAAGATTGGAAGTATTTGGTAAAGTCCAATTGTTTGGTTCATTAGCTTATCGCAAGATGCATGGAGATTTCTTTTTCGCTTTTATTTTTCCTCATTTATTTATTTATTATTTCTTTTGTTCATATTATAAATATTTTTTTTCAATTTAAAATCCTTTTTAATTCTTTTTTCTCTATGAAAAAATTTAATTTTTTTCAATTTTAATTAAATAATATTTATATGTTTTTTATTTAATTTTAACAACATTAATTTGTCTAATTTTTTTTTTTTATTAAATATTTTTTGAAGATTGTTTTAAAAAAAAATTCTTCATATTATAAATAATTTTTTGTTCGATTTAAAATTCTTTTTGTTCTATGATTAAATTCTTTTTTCTTCATATTATAAAAAAATTAAATGATTTACAAAATTACAGAAGAAAAAAAATTGCAAGAAAAAAAAGTTATTATAAAGTTTAAAATTAAATTGAAATAATTAAAAATAAAATTTATTTAATTAAAATTTAAAAAAATGATAAAATGAAAAGAATTTTAAATCGAAAAATAAATTATTTATAATATGAAGTAATTTTTTTAAAAAATATAATAAAAATAAAATAAATTCTAAAAAATGTTATGAGAATTAAATAGAGAATACATAAATATTATTTAATTAAAATTTAAAAAATTAAATTTTATCATAACAAAAAAAAAATTAAACAGAATTCGCTTCCCTTTCAAATGAGAGAATTCAAACTCTCGAAAGGAGAGATTCTCTTTGTTTCTCTTCATGGATTGA